TTTTTGTAGAGACAGAGTCTCACTTTTTCGCCCTCCATAGAGTGCAGTGGAGTCACTCCAGCAACCTCCAACTCCTGGGCTTAGGGGATTCTTCTGCCTCAGCCTCCCAAGTAGCTGGGACTACAGGCGCCCACCACAACGCCCGGCTATTTTTTGTTGCAGTTTGGCCGGGGCTGGGTTTGAACCCACCACCCTCGGTATATGGGGCTGGCGCCCTACTCACTGAGCCACAGGTGCCTCCCTAAAATATTTCTTGACTTTTTTTTTCCACCCTCGGTAGAGTGCCATGGCATCACAGCTTTCATCAACCTAAAACTCTTGGGCTTACGTGATTCTCTTGCCTCAGCCTCACAAGTAGCTGGGACTACAGGTGCCCACCACAATGCCTGGCTTTTTTATTTATTTATATTATTTTATTATTATTATTATTATTTTGTAGAGACAGTCTTACTTTGTCGTCCTGGGTAGAGTTGTAGGCATCACAGCTCACAACAACCTCCAACTCTTGGGTTTAGGCGATTTTCTTGCCTCAGCCTCCCAAGTAGCTGGGACTACAGGTGCCCACCACAACGCCCAGCTATTTTTTGTTGCAGTTTGGCTGGAGCCGGGTTTGAAACCGCCACCCTTGGCATATGGGGCCAGCACCCTACCCACTGAGCCACAGGCACCGCCCATGCCTGGCTATTTTTTTTGTTGCAGTTGTCATTGTTGTTTAGCAGGCTGGGGCTGGGTTTGAACCCACCTTCCTTGTATGTAGACAGCACACTAACCACTGAGCTATAGGCGCTGAGCATATTTCTTTACTTTTTTTTTTTTTGGAGACGGTCTCACTATGACACCCTCGGTAGATTGCCGTGGCGTCATAGCTCACAGCAATCTCAGACTCTTGGGCTTAAGCAACTCTCTTGCCTTAGTTTCCCCAGTGGCTGGGACTATAGGCACCTGCCACAATGCCCGGCTATTTTGTTGTTTTTGTTACAGTTGTTATTGTTCTTTGGCAGGCTGGGACAGGCTTCAAACCTACCAGCCCCAGTGTACATGGCTGGTGCTCTAGCTGCTGAGCTACAGGTGCCAAACCTTCTTGACTTTTTAAAAGTTTTATATCAGCCCAGCACCCATAGCACAGTGGTTACGGCACCAGCCACATACATACAAGTTGGCGGGTTTGAACCCGGCCTGGGCCAGCTGACCAGCAATGACAGCTGCAACAAAAAAATAGCTGGGTGTCGTGGCAGGCACCTGTAGTCCCAGCTATTTGGCAGGCTGAGGCAAGAGAATCGATTGAGCCCAAGAGTTTGAGGTAGCTATGAGCTGTGACGCCATGGCACTCTACCCAGGGAGACATAGTGAGACTGTAACTCCAAAAAAAAAAGTTTTTGTATCCTATGGACTGGCCTGGCCTCAGCCCCTTACCATCCCTTACCTGCTCTGCTTCCACATCTCCTCCCTGGTCTTTTTGCTTCTAGTTTCTTCTAGTTCACTCCACAGAGGCTGTTCTGACCTGTAGGTTTTGCCATGTCATTCCTTTAAGCAATACCATCCATTCCCTTCTCCTACCTGCTGTTCAGAGCCCTCCCCACCCCACCCTACACATAACTGCTAGCTTACAGCCTCACCCCTCACAGCTTCTGCTTCCAACTTCCATGGGATCATGGTTCTTGCAGGGTGAGGAAGGGGAAGACATTCTTCCATAAATCTGGCTTGTGCTTCCCCGTACCTTCCCTAAGCCAAGTGTAAAGACCTCCCTCATAGTTCCCTTCCTTCCTCTTTCTCTCCCTGGAAGTACTCAGAGAGATGCCTGGGTTCTAAGCCCCTGCCTCCATACCTTATTGGCTGAGACATTTCAGCTCAGTTGCTTCTTCAACATAGTTATTGAGCACCTACTGTGTGCTGTACTAGAATGGTTTGAGCACAGAATGGTTTCCACTCAGGCAGCTTACATTCTGGGGGCGGGATGGAGGTGAAAGATGATAACATAGTAAACAAATAATACTAGTAGTAATAGCTGACATTTATGTGGTGTTTACTGTGTGCCAGGTCCTGTTTGAAGTGTGCCACACTCTGGGAAGCCAAGGCAGGTGGATTGCCTGAGCTCAGGAGTTTGAGACCAGCCTGAGCAAGAGCAAGACCCTATGTCTACTAAGAAAATAGAAAAACTAGCTGGGTATAGTGACACCTGTAGTTCCAACTGCTTGGGAGGCTAAGGCAAGAGGATCACTTGATCCCAAGTGTTTGAGGTTGCTGTGAGTTATGATGTCATAGCACTCTACCCAAGGTGACAGAGTGAAACAAAAAAATGAAGTGCTCCACATTAATCACTCATTTAATTCTTGCAATAAGAGTATGAGATATTAGTAGTATCCCTATTTAACAGATCAGGATATATAGTATCGGCTCGGCACCTGTGGCTCAAGTGGCTAAGGCGCCAGCCACATACACCTAAGGTGGCAGGTTT